CTCACCCGGCCAAGGCTTCTGCCTCAGACTGCAAACGGTCGCGCTCTTGCTGCTCTCTAGGCGGCTGTGAGGTGCAGGGAGCGAGCTGCGGGAACATTCTCCGATCTGCTCTCTGAGGCCCCGTGTCTCGCCTCCCTCTTCCCCCACCCGTCTGCCCACCATTAAGTACTCGGCATGGGAGTCTCTTCGCTGCTCTGTGTGCAGGGTAGAGGTTTGTTGGCTGAGGTTCAGCAGTCCAAACTGCGGCGATTTCCAGGGGAGAACTCAGGGAGCCCTCCTCCCAGCCGCCATTTTCCCGCAACATGGTGTTTTGCACTTGTTTGGAGAAAATACTTTTATTCTCAGATGAATGTGTGAATAACACAGTTTTGGTACTCTCAAGTGTTTGCACATGATATGCCTCATTTTTTCAATTAGAGATGATAGAAAGTCCTTTAGTCGCATTGGGGAATGATACTCATGATTTATTACGTGTTGTCAATACCGTAACACATTTTCTGGTTGTGATTAGTCTTTAAATGCATCAGAAATATTGTACAGGGTCATAAACATGCTCTACCATGCTCAGATATTTTTCTTAGAAAGTCAAATTTTGTAAGATACCATCATTTTTATCTAATATGCTATTAAGATAACATTAGAGTCCTCAGCTTAGGAAAAGAGGAAGAAGCCCCCAAATACTTCTGGTTTCCTTTAGTTACTTCTTGCTAATATGATTCCTCTAAACTATGGGTTGACACTCTAATGCTTATGGACCAAACCCTGCCAGCCTTATCTTTTTGTAAATAAAGGTTTACTGGGGCCGGCCAAGTGGCGCATTGGTAGGGAGTTGGCTTGGGACACCAGCTCTGAGCAGCAGGGCCCCAGTTTGGATCCCACATTAGGGCCAGTGTCACTGCGCCCTCTACAGCTAAGATGATGAACAACAGCTCGACCTGGAGCTGGGCTGCCGTGAGTTGCTGGCAATGGTGTAGGCTGCAGTGGGGCTGGCTGGCAGCTGTCGTGCCCTTTCGTGGGCTGCCGTGAGCCACCGTGAGCGGCCGAGGAGCCACTGCGTCACGCAGGAAGAGCACAATGATAATACCAACATGGGCCAGTGAAGTGACATCCTCCACAATTAGACTGAAGAACAAAAGGACAGCAACTTGTCTGTTCTTCCTCGATTCCCCAATGCTGTTCCCTTCCCCCAATTCCCTAATAAAATCTTAGGGAAACAAGATAATAAAATAAAATAAAGGTTTACTGGAATATAGCCACACCTACTAGGGTTTGTATTGTCTATGGTTGCTTGGGTATATGGTCCACCATATTTACATCTGGCCCTTTGCAGAAAGTTTGCTGGTCTGCCTCAAATCCATTATGAACCCATTTATATTTTCAGGTAGCCATGGGCTAATCCATCGCACTCAGAGGTTACTCATGGTTACCCTGGGACGCTTGCCTTACGAAGGTGCCCCAAGTTCCCACAGCACTGAGTCTCTCTCTGCTTCCCTAGCCCTCTGTGCTTAATCGGTACCTCCCCAGTACTGTAGTTGTCTGTTCCAATGCCTGTCTCCTGGACTAGAAGGACGGGAGCAACTCCACACCCTCTGCTATTCCGCACGACTAGCCCAATGTTGACACTTTACAGGTGCTCACTGTTCACTGAATGAACAAATGAATTACATTTCGTAACCACAGTATATAAACCAGCATTTTTCTTTGTGTAGTTTATCTGAAACTCTGAATATTTTAAAAACCACTTGTTTGTATTATAAAAGAGTTTTTAAAAAGGATTTCACCTTCATAAATGTATTTCCTTTGAGCTCATATGAAAATTAGTTTACATTATAAATGAGTTTACATTTCCCTAGCTCTTATCCAGCATTAGTTCTAACTATGCTAGACATTAAGGATAAACCTCTTTAAATTAAAACAAGAACAACAACAACAAAAAAGTTGCAGACTATTCCAATCTTGTATAGGTAATTGAAAAGTATAATAAATGAATGTTGTCTCCATTTTATCAGGGTCTTAGTACTCAGAGGTGACTGATAAGAGGGTCTGGTTTAAGATTTATTCACTCATCCTGGCAATATTTATTAGATGTCTCTGGTGTTACAGGTGGTGATGAAATAGCAGTAAACAGGACAAAGTTTTCACTCTTATGGAGTTTACACTCTCACCTGAGTAGGTAGTAACGAACCAAGACTACTACCAGCAGGTGGCAAGGGCTAGTGAAAGACTAAATTGGGATGATGTAAGAATGAGTTAACAGGTAGCAGTTTAAACCACCTAGCAGTTAACTGTTCCTTTGAGAGAGTGTCAGCGGAATTAGAATCTGAATTATATGAAAGAGCAAACATGTGAAGATCATGGGGAACTGAATTCCAGGCAGAACAAATAGCCAGGAAAAAGGCTCCAGCTGCTGGGAGGGAGCTTAGTGTGTTTGGGGAACAAAAAGAAAACAAACGTGGCTCACGTGCAGCATGCAAGAGAGGGGCCGGGAAAGGGGAGGTTCTGGAGGTAGGTGGGCATCCGTCAGGGTGAAACCTGTGGGGAGGTGAAGGCACAGGGTCCTTTCTGCTTTGGCTTTAAAGGAACTGAAAGAAGATGCTTGATCTTGACTTTCTGATGCCCATTTAGTGCCTAGAATGGCCTGGGGAGTGTGTTTGGATTAGTGAATCTGCTTCTACTTACACAGCACTCGGAGCTCCACAGCCCCACCCTGTGTGACTCCCTGCAAAGGTGTGTGGAGCCTACCTGTGTGGCCACTGCCAGGTTAAGATGCCTCTTTGGCTCTCCTCTGGGTCTCAACAACACAAAGACAGTGATCACCCACATGCATATCTGCCCAAATAATCACCTTTGAAAGTTATCTCTATTTTATCTTATTATTTGCATAGAAGCACAGTGCCTGTGATGTAGATAAGATGACTTCTTAGCAAAGGGTTGAATTACAGAGACTATATCTGTCAGTACAATGTTGCCTAAATGGGCTGGTAGAAAACAGTCACCTAAATGAGAACGTGTTTAGCCTGTTTAGCTGTTTTATGACATGTTGCATTACTAATATTATTGATGTTTAGTTAAAGTAATAAATGTATGTGTTGTATCACCCTGCGGTTGGATATACTACACAGTATAAAACATCTGACAGATTCAGACATTTTGATTTGATTCCATAAACATTTTGAATCATTAGACATTGGGTCAAGCCAATCCTGAGCATCAGACATGCAAAAGGGACAGGTGATATAGTAAGTTTTTATGGCATTAAAACAAATTTTTTTTGAATGTTGTTGATATTACTTTGATTAGATACAAAGATTGTCAGATTTTTACACCAGTTTTCACAGTAAGCAATTGTTTAAATAAAATGTTCCTTCCTCACCCAGTTGCTGTGTGTAGATGTAGCCTACTACAGAAATTACGGATACTGTTAGAAGTTTGAAAAGTTGTCATCTTGCTGTGGTTTGGTGAAGTCAGGCCCTGTAAATTAAAGCAGGGAGGAAGAAGATGGGGAAAGGTCTCTTTTAACAAATGAAAGCAACTCAGTGGGAGTAGAGACTGGCAATCTGCTAAAAGGAAATAAAAGGAAATTCTTCATTTCTAAATGGTTCAATGACCCATGATAATAAAGGAGCCCTGCCAAAGAAGGATAATTATCTTTTTAAGTATCAGATGCCCTGTGGGGTGAAGGCCTCCCTTCTCCTCTCTTGAAAAATGAACTCAGATTAAACAAATGCTCCTTTTCCTAGTTTACCCCGTTGACATACATCTGATTATGAGCAAAATTAATCAGTTTTCCCTCTTTCTATTTTCCCCCTTCTTTTGTGGAAATCAGGCCTGCCCAACTGAGCTCAGTGCATTCCCCTTGGGCCCTGAGTTCTACCAATAGTATGATGGGCTCACATCTTGATATTCTGGAGAGACTAGCAGTTGTAGAATTGTGGTTTTATTATGACCCTTAGCTGCTTAGCTCTAGGCAGAAGCATGTTCTCTTAAAACAACAAGAAAAAAGGAAAAAAGAAAGACACAGAAAAAAACATTAGGATGCTTTTTTTCTCCTGCTGGTATCTAAAAGCTAAACAAAAACTTAAATAGATCTTATGTGTATACATATGTATGTATACATGTGTATATATGTATATATCCACACATACATGATGAGTTCAAATACAAAAAAGAACTGAAGTGTTATGGATGATATAGCATTGAATATCGATTTGCTACCAACAAACGATCCCATTTATATATCCTTTTTCTCTAGACCTTGTTGTTTATTCAGGCTAATAATGTAAATATGTTGACTTGTCTAACTTACCGAATGCATTAAGATAGTTTTGTTTACAAAAGCAGACAACCCTTTTCTTAAATTAATGATTTACCTTCAACTGCCTTCTTGAATTCTTAATGATCAGTTTGAGGAAAGCTTGTCATAAATTGTTTAACCAAATGGCACATCTCTTGGTTATAGATGAAGTACACTGTACATTTTCAAAATGTCTGCACTCCTTTTACTAAATAAAATAAATAAAACTACTATTGTATTTTCATTACATATGTCTCTAAAATTTTTTGAAATTAAAATTTTAATCACGGGGTTCTATGTAGAGAAACAAACTGGATATTCCAGTGGCTTTTTCAGCTCAGTGCCTTTGGCTTCTTAAGAAGACAGAGCTTTACAGAAGGGGCCAGGAAATAATGATTCAGAATAGATCTTACCTCTTGGCATAATTTTCTCAGCCAGCACCTGGGTCTCTCTGAGCACAAATGTCCCATTCTCTTAAAAGAATTTCTTCAGTGCACCATGGCTTCTCCTTCAAAGTATAATTAACCATGTTTGTAAGCTTCCTTTGAACTCCTTGGAGTTCTGTGGTTGGTAAATATTTGTTTCTTTATCTTTTAGTCTTTGGAAGTTCAGGCCCTGGGCCTGGGGGATTCAAGATGGTAAGCACAAACTTCTTGATAAAAATACCCAAAGCAAGCTGCGTGTCCCTTAACACACTTCACTGCAGATGTCCTCGTGTGTCCCCTTCGGCCCGTGGAGCGCTTCCGAGACCTGCATCCCGATGAAGTGGCTGATTTGTTTCAGGCAACCCAGAGAGTAGGGTCGGCGGTGGAGAAGCATTTCCAGGGGACTTCCCTTACCTTTGCCATGCAGGTGAGCGTACAGAGGCTCAGAAAGGATTTTTTCTTTCTTTACAAATCCTACCATTGGGTTTTCTCTCCTTTTAACCTACCATTTAACTGGGAAGGCAGCTGTGCTTATTCGTGTCTTACATAGTAGCAGAAAAATCGGTTACTAATCCAGTATCATCCTACTGTCCATTGGCCCGAGGTAGACTGTGGAATATCAGCAGAGACGATGTCTGCAGCACTGTTTACAAAACAAGTGGGAGTAATGGACAAGAAATTTAATAGATGTTACAACGTCCTAGAATTTTTACTAGAGCTAGAGCTGGGCAAGTCATTTTCATTCCATGGTAACCAACCATGTTTTAAGCACTGCATGGGCTTAGCCCCGCCCTACCTCCAGTGAAGTAGTGAGATATGCAACTTAGGTGGGTCCTTGCCCTGGGAGGGCAGACCTTTGCTGTATCTGTAAATCAAGCTTCAGTGGTTGATTATGGATTGGTCAGAAGCTGGATTGATCAAATAGTTGGTGTGGTCTGCTTCCTAGTAAAGAAAGGAGACCCCCAGTCACTAGAGATCTTGAGGCAGAGGTTGAGCCAGCACTCGGGGATGTGACAGGAGGCTGTCCATGGTGGATCACCAGCTGTGGGAACTCAGCCAATCATTGCAGTATGCCATGAGCCCCTCAGGTGCCCCATGGAGAGAGCTGGGGGTATCAAAATATATTACAGTCCTTTGGGGCCTTGAAAGTTGGTGATGCTGTAATAACACTTTGGAAAGGCATGGTTTACCCCATAATATGAGACCTTGTACTCAGTGCTTTAGTTAAACTGAATCTTTAACACCCTTCCTCTATTCTCCTCATCTGTCCACCAAAGGGAACAGTTAAAGAAAGCTACTGTTTTCAGGTCCTGAGAGGCTCTGACTAAAAATGCTCATCTGCTTCTCAAAAAAAAAAAAATTTTTTTTTGACCACTGTGTCTGTGTTAATAGTATCTAAACTCCACTGTGAAATCTTGTGTGTGTGTGTTGTATGTCACACCATTTGAGTCACCTTTAAGCAAGTAGATAAGCTCTTGGGGTGGGGATTTATCAAGCTTATGCTGCAAATCATGTTTCCAGAGAGACCAAACGAAGGTGAGTGGGTGAAGACATCTATCAGTGTTTAATGAAATACTAAAAGAAAATTCACATTTATATAAAATGGCTAGTGTTGGCTATCTAACATGATTCACTAGAAAATTCCATAGATATACAAACTGACTTGTGCATACTTTTATATATGGAATACTTTCAAACTTCTTTTTAACTTTAACCCACAGTAATATAAGTATTTATTTCACAATCAACCCCACATACAAATACTTATTGTAGATACAGGAAACCAATGTTTCACAAAACAATGTTTACCCATCCTATGCATTCTAGTAGTTTTTGTCCTGTTGTCTGATTTCTTTTGTTTTTAGTGCTGATCACAACCCAGTAATTTAACTTCCTGACCCACTAAATGGGTTGTGTCTCAAGTCTGAAAACCCTGATTGCATAGTTCTGCTTAATCCTGGCCCCACAGCAGGCCAAGAACTCTTACCTCATTAGTCTAGGACACAGAGGTAGAAAGACTTACCTAAATTTGCAAAGTTCTAATTCAGTTTTGGAATTTCTGGTGCTAGAAACTTGGCTTGTTCTGCTATCCCAAAACCAGCTAAGCCCTTGCTTTGACTTTGTGCTGTGTCTGGTAACTGGGTGAGTTTGCTGCTTTTCAACTAAGCAAGTAGCTTTGTTGGGCTTTGGAAAGATGAGCGAAGGAACCAGAATGAGAAAATGCTACAACGAATGCTTCCACCTTTCTCCCCCAAGGGCAGCACAACCAGAGAAGGTGCACTTGGGGTGCTCGTCCCATGTGAGATAACCCATTTTCTTGCTTAATGAATTATGTTTATAGCAGATTTCCTGAGTAGAGATTAAAAATAGTCAGACATTAATTAAACTGCAACTGATTTAAAGATAACCAAAAGGTGTGATACTTTACCTCCCTGAACATTTTCAACTTTCCTTTAATGCAATTAAAACCATGGCCGAGAGCACAGAGCATGAAAAGTAGCAAAGGGGCTGGCTCACTGGATAATTTATATCATTTTTATAGATAACTTCTCCCTTACCCTCAGGAGAAAATGGAGAACTGTCTGGCCCCACACATTTGACATGAATGGTTCCCATGTGAATATTGTAAATTAACACACAATGAAATTGGATCTAAATTATTAACAGACAATATTTCTGAATAAGCAGGAGACACCAGTGGTCTCTTCTCACCTCTGTGTTTTGTTTTGTTTTGTTTTTCCCCCTACTTCTAGGATGGCCCCGAAGCCGGACAGACTGTGAAGGTGAGTGCTTGTTATGTGCATGCAAATTAATAAGGGGCAATTACGAAAACTAATAAAAAATCACACAGAGTCATTTGCTGCACATTGCTGCTCCATTATGTTATCTTCGAGGTCAGAGAGACCCTCCAGTGTTAGAAACATAAATCCTGACATTATAAACTATGCCAAGCAATATGTTTCCCATTAGTTTACAAGACATTTACCTTTTGTAATAAAATTATTATTGGGCAAATGCTAACACAGAAACTAAATCAAGGCAACCTAAACCTGAACGTGAAGGCAGAGGTGTTCCTGTGAGGAGTATCTAGGAAACGGCACGTGCCAGGTGTGGGTGGGGGGTCCCACTGTAAGCTGGGCACCTGTGACATGCCTCCGGCTCTTTACACCAGCCGTGTTCGCCTCAGGATTCCCAAGTGAAGGGCTCGGGCAAGAGCACAGGTTCTCCCTTCAGTCCTCGCCCGTCCTGTGCTTCTCTCTGTTCTCAGTCTCACTTCCCACACACACCTCCTTTTCCTCCCTTGGTACTTAATACCAAATTCTAACCTAATGGAGTCAGTGGAGCCCAAAGGTGGGTTTTTAAGTGTGCTAGAAGAGTAAAGGAGGATGTATTAGGATAGTCCCTGCTTCCCTAGTAAAGAAAAAGAAAAGACTAGAATCCTGGCTGATTCTGAAGCTGGGTGTCAGCCTCCTTTATAGAAATGCAAAATCCTATACAATTAGGTCCTACACCTAAATCACAGAAAAGGCGATTTTTTTTTTCTGGTGCTAGAAATCAGAAGCAAGTCAAGTTGGGATGCTAATATTATAGTTTGTGAAATAAGGTTTTATGGCTCTAATCCTGGCTGTGAGTGGGTGAGGTAATGCTTGTCATCAAACAATGCTGAATACAGAGTTCTATTTTGATCTTCGTTTGCATATGACTTGAATGTTCCACCTAGCTACCTTGGGACTTTTTAAACAGAGTCTCTAGGAAGTGTTTCTGAGGAACGAATGTCCTATAGGGACTGTCACCACATTCCTTATGATCAAAGAGAGAGCTAGCCTTCCGTTTGTTCCAGACGTGGGATGTGATAGGGCAGAGGGCACTCACGGTTGTACTCCAACCCCATGCCAAGTTGCTAAATATGCAGACACTAAGAGTATAATAGGGGTAGCTTCTTTTTGGAATTGTTTCTTGAAAAGCAACACACAAATGTTTAAATCTGGTTACTAGTTTTTTTAAAAGCTCAATGTTCAAATGTAAATTCCAATAACACCAGATTAGTGGGATGCATTATGCAACATCCGTCTGATGGAATGCCTTCAGTCCTTGAAAGCTGTGGAGGCTTAGCTAGTAACATGGGAGAATGCACAAACCAAATCAAGGGTAACACACAGACTGATAATATGCATATGCTAAACCTATCCAATATTTATATGAATATATAGGTTATAGGACCTCAAAATTTCATTTCAGAATTCTGAAGGGGACATGAAAATTATTTCCTATACAAGCAGGCTTTGAATAGAGACGGAAAGTTGATGAGTGGTTGCCAGGGGCTGGAGAGAGCAGGGACTGGGGAGTGACTGCTGATGGGTGAGGGTTTCATTTTCTTTGTGGGGTGATGAAAGCATGGAATTAGATAGTGGTGATGGTTGTGCAACTTTGTGACTATTCTGAAAACTACTGAATTGTACACTTTATATGGTGAATACCATAGTTTTATGGTATTTTTATCTCAATTAAAAAAGTAAAACATCGGGTCAGCTGAGTGACGCATTGGTTAAGAGTTGGCTTGGGTCACCAGCTCTGAGAAGCAGGAACTCAGTTTGGACCCCACATGAGGGCCAGTGACGCTGCGCCCTCTACAGCTAAGATGGTGAACAACAGCTGAATGTGGAGCTGGGCTACTGTGAGTCACCGGCGACAATGTAGGCTGCAGTAGGGCTGCAGTGGGTTGCTGTAAAGCTAGCGTGAGTGGCTGGCAGCCAGTGTGAGCTGCCAAGAGCCGCCACGAGTGGCCGTCCAGTGGCTGGCGACTGATCTGCCTCACCTGGGAAGAACAATGATAATACCAACATGGGCCAGTGAAGCGACATCCTCCACAACTAGACTGAAGAACAAAAGGACAGCAATTTGTCTGTTCCCCTTCCCCCAATTCCCCAGCGCTGTTCCCATCCCCCAATTTCCCAATAAAATCTTAAAAAAAATTTTTTTTAAGTAAAATATAATTTTTTTTAAAAAGCACCAAGTCTAGTAGGGGTGAGCACCATGTCTGTAGATGCTCCGACTTCAATAGTGACTACTTTTTGATGTTCTAATTATCTGGCTGAAATTTCTTTTTTTTTTAAAGATTTTTATTGGGGAATTGGGGGATGGGAACAGCGCTGGGGAATTGGGGGAAGGGGAACAGGCAAGTTGCTGTCGTTTTGTTCTTCAGTCTAGCTGTGGAGGACGTTGCTTCACTGGCCCAAGTTGGCACCATCATTGCGCTCTTCCCGGGCGAGGCAGATCAGTCGCCAGCTTCTGGACGGCTGCTCACAGCGGCTGTTGGCTGCTCACGCTGGCTGCTGGCCGCTCACGCTGGCTGCTGGCTACATACGGTAGCCCATGGCAACCCACTGCAGCAGGGGCTGCAGCCTACCCCGTCACCAGTGACTCATGGCAGCCCAGCTCCAGGTTGAGCTGTTGTTCAGCATCTTAGCTGTGGAGGGCAGTGTCACTGGCCCTCATATGTGGGATCCAAACCGGGGCCCTCTGGCGTCCCAAGCCAGCTCTTAACCAACGTGCCACTCGGTCGGCCCTGGCTGAAATTTCTAATGGTTTTGTTAGCGTCAATGGTGAGGATGGAGTAATTTTTAGCATATAGTATGCATATATGAATTATGGAATATGGTTATTATAATCACCACCATTATTATTTAACTTAAGTTGATTTTTTTTTCTTTTACAGTTTAACTTTTCATTTTTTAATCAGTAGATTATATTGTTTTGGGTATCTTTCATTAGTTTTTTGTCACAGAATTTCCCCTATAAGAGTTAGCAGGTCCACATCAAATTCTTTGTGGAATATAAAATGTCTAAAAGAAAATTGCCATATACATACATATAAAACCCTCAATGGATGCCAAAGGTTTGAAAACTGTCCTTTTAGACCAAGTCTTTTTATCTAAAGTTGCCTAATCTGTGTTGTTCCAAGTGTGATTCTTATACCACCTATGTGAAAATTGATTTTAGTGTTAGCATAAAAAAAAAAAAAAGTTGATTCTCAGTTTTTATTCAAAATATACTGATTTAGAATCTTTGTGGTTGGGGCTTTGGGGTCTTTACTGTCAATAAGTACACTTCAGACTGTAGGTATTTACCGGCCTTTCTATTAATACTTTATAGTGATAAGATAGTAGTAGGTGGTGAAGGCCACCTAAGCTTGACCCATGGGAGCCAGTCTTGTCGTCAACAGCCCCTCCAGGGAGCAAAGCAGCATTTTCAATAGTTAGCTTCCCAATTCTGAAAACTCCACTTCAAGACTGAACATTCAATATGTTGAAATCCACACAGTTGCACATTTCCTGGCAGCGTTTGATAGCCGGCCATGGAAAGCACAGTGGCTGTTCTCTTCATCTCTGCCTCTGTGTCTTACTCTTGGAATTGCACATGATGCCAGGGTTCTAAACCACTTTTGTCCCCTGCTGGATGGTAATAGCAATCAGCCCAGTAATGATCTCTCCCCCTGAAGCAACTGTCATTGTTGTTAGTGACAGTGCAGCACTGCGTTCGCCTCGTGAACATGGTGCCACTTCAGGGTTTTTTGTTTCAGGGGCTTGAAATTCCGTTTTGCAAAGAAACAAGGGTGGCCTAACTTACTAAGTCATTTGTAACAGGAAAGGGAAATACCAAAGTAAAAAAACGTGACCCCTCATTTCTCAGTGATTATTAACTCTCCTTTCAAATTTAAAAATAATAGAGCGCTGCTGTCTACATGGTGATGATTGCAAAAATTTGGACGCCCTGCAGGGATGAGAAACAATCTTTCTTCTGGCCTCAGCCATGTATCACCATGTATGCGTGTACATATTACCATATGCGTGTGCAGCCATGGGTCGCTGTATTTATCACCTCCCCTGACAACACCGCCGCATCTGAAGCAGCCCCCCTGAACTCCTTACTCCTTAATCTGTTGCCTTATTTCATTTCCTTCAAGGCATTCTTTACTGACTTTTATTCATGTGGGTGTGTTTGTTCCCGTACCTGTGTTGTCTCGCTAGTGCCCCCCAGAATGTGAGCTTCTCGAGGACCTGCCTTTTGTCATTGCTGACTTTGGCTCTCTTGATTGGTGTGGGGAGGAGAACAGGGGTGACAATGGTACTTCACTTGCTAGACCAAATCTCTGCTCCTGAGTTTCTAACTTCAGTCTACATGAAGTAGCCGATGATACGTACTTGTATTCCAAGTATGCAGCCACACGGGTCTGGGTTTCCTGGAATTTCTATTAAGAATCTCCCATATTCACTGACAAAGACCAACATTTCCACTCTTTAAGTACCAAACTCATACTCCAAAGTGCGATTTCAACTAGCCAAATCATTAAGGCAATGTTCGGCCCTTTAAAAGGGGTGCTGTAGTGTTTAGTAAGTTTAATGTGAGCTATCTTTTAGAGCAATTATGATGTGTATCTTTGGGTGGGAGGATGTTTTAAGTATATTGCGGAGAGAGGTTTGTGGCAAGTTGATAATCTCAAATCTCATAAGAGCTACTTACAGAATATGATTGTTTACACTCTTCTCTGCTTATGGTGCTTGAACCTTCTACTTAGATATTTAATTTTATAGTATTAATGCAGTGGGAAGTGTTTCTTAATAACTGTTGAGATAATAGCAGTTACTTTTCAGATTGCTCAGGGAAGAACAAGAAAAGGGATTCTTTAAAGAAGTGTGATTTAAAAATAAAACAAACAAACAAAGCCATTCACTGAGGAGTTTTTGTGGTCCTAGAACAGATTTCCCACATGGAGATTTGGTAA